AAAAAGTATCAGTTATGGTTACATGCTGATGGTGCATATGGTGCTTGGTTTGCCATGGTTGATACTGCCCCCAAACGTCTAAAGTCTCTCAATCTATGTGATTCAATCAGTGCAGATTTGCACAAATCATTTTTTCTACCTTATGGAACTGGGTTTTTGGCAGTGAAACAAAAAGAAAACTTGTCTAAAACATTTGGTCATGATCATGCTGATTATCTGAGCCATGAGAGTTCAGATATTAATTTTGCTGAATTAACATTGGAACAAACACGCGAAATGAGAGGACTGAGAGTCTGGTTACCGCTAAAATTACTCGGTTCACATAGTTTTGCATCGTGTTTAAAGGAGAAATTAGATTTAACACAGTATTTACATGGTGAACTCGAACGGATTCCAGGCATTATTATCATTAGCAAGCCAGTTTTATCCATTCTTACATTCAGGCATATTCCGAAAACATTGAAACATTTATTTGAAAAGGAGCCACGAATTCTTCAAAATGCAGATGTTGAATCTGAATTATTAGCTCATAATACACGATTAATATCATCTATCAATAGTCGAGGTCGAGTCTTATTGCAGTCAACAAAATTATATTTGAGTCATGATGATCCACAGCCGGCTATGGTTATTCGAATTATTATACTCAGTTATCTGACTCATCGCACACAAGTAGATCATTGTATCAACGACATAAAGGAGAGTTGTATGGAGAGTGGCTCACAAACTCTCCCGTTCATGTAATCTCATGGCGTCAAAACTGAAACTGTTTTCCTTCGTATTTTGAGGCAGAAAAACGCCGAGAAAAGCCTTTGGAAGTACTTTACCTCGAATTGAATTTGTGCCTTAAATTTACTCGGCTTTGGTTGTCACATTCTAGCTTACCCTAAACTATTATAATCGTGTATTCTGATCGTAGCCGTAAATTGGAAGTCAACTTTGGAGAGTGTAAAAAGTTTTTAAAGCTTCGCGCAAAGAAAATTTTTTTGGGGGGTGTAAGAAAAAGAATTTTCACCGTCTGATCAAAAATAAAGAAAAAAATTTTAAATTCCGCTGGGAGAAAAGGACAAATTTATATTTCTGGGTAGGTGTACGCCGCCCCTGCGCAATTTACGGCTCTGATTCTGATTCGACATATGGGAATGAATGAGCAGTACCTGGAGAAAAGAGCCCAAAGTTAACCCATTAACAGTGTACTTATTTCATATGATTAGGGAACACCCATAGTGTCTGACGCAACCAGTGAGTTAGTTCCTAGCGATAATTTTTCATCACAGCATTTTGTTTCCATTAGCATATCTGGTAGCGTGCTAACATTTTGGCGAAATGACGGTGTTTCGTTTCACGTAGTCTCTCATCGATTAAGTGAGGAGAGGTGATCTGCAGCTGTGAAACATGTGGCTGGAAAATACCGAAAATTGTCTACAAGATGTGCTAAGTTTTAACTGGAAAAAAGTTAACAGTTTTCTTTCAAGGATATGTCCATAGAAAATCATAATTAGAAATTATATAGGTTCCAAGTAAGGTTGCAGATTCATTTCTGTTTTGGGAAAAATCTTCTGTACAAGTACTGAATAAATGATGCATAACTATTATCGGCCCCACAAACCAAGACACACGGATGTTTCTC